CTTATTGAGCATGTTCATTTTGCAATATATACAAATATCGAATCATTATGTTGTGCACCTGAAACTAAAATAATGTTACATATCAATTATACCTCGATTAAAAAAGAGAAAACTCTAGGCCCACATAGCTTCACCAGGGGATAAGAGAAATATTTACCACCATCTACTACTACTACTAAATAATAGTGATCGATACAGACTCAGAAAACAGAGGAGAAGGAAACACTTTCTAATTCATTCTAGAACATCAGCATTACTCTGGTACCAAAACATGACAACACATTACAAAAAAAGAATGTTACATACCAATATCTATCATAGATACTGATATTCCTCATTGCATCCCACATAGATGCAAAAATGCTTCACCAAGCACCAGTAAATCAAATCCAGGGAATTTCTGAAACATGTAATATGACATGACCAAAGCGGCATTTATCCCAAGAATGCAAAGTTGGTTTAATTTAGAAAAATCACACTCTTTGACATCGGTCTCAGCAGCATATTTTCAAGTACCATGTCTGACCGGGAAAGGGAAACAAAAGACAAAATGAACAAATGGGACTACATCAAACTAAAAAGCTTCTGCACAGCAAAGGAAACCATCAACAAAATGAAATATATCATATCACATATATCAGATAAGGGGTTAATATCCAAAATATACAAAGAACTCATACAGCTCAACAACAAAAAACCAACAACCCAATTAAAAAATGGGCAAAGGATCTGAACAGAGATTTCTCCAAAGAAGATATATGGAGGGCCAACAGGCATATGAAAAGATGCTCAACATCCTTAGCTATCAGGGAAATGCAAATCAAAACTACAATGAGGTATCACCTCACTCCTGTCAGAATGGCTATAATTAACAAGACAGGAAACAACAAATGTTGGAGAGGATGTGGAGAGAAGGGAACCCTTGTACACTGCTGGTGGGAATGCAAACTGGTGCAGCCACTATGGAAAGCAGTATGGAATATCCTCAGAAAATTAAGAACAGATCTACCATATATGAGCTATCCCACTGCTGGGTATTTATCCAAAGAACTTGAAAACGCCAAAGGCATAAAGATACATGCACCCCTATGTTCACTGCAGCATTATTCACAATAGCCAAGACTTGGAAGCAACCTAGGTGCCCATCAAGAGACGAATGGATAAAGAAGATGTGATATTTACACCCATCCGTCTAACCATGGACTCATAGGTTGTTTCTATTTTATGGCTATTGTGAACAAAACTGCAATGAACATCAGAGTGCAGATATCTCTTCAAGGTCCTGATTTCAGGGGCTGGCCTGGTGGCAGAGGTTAAGTTTGTGCACTCCACTTTGGCAGCCCAGAGTTCACTGGTTTCGATCCTGACCACAGACCTATACACCATTCATAAAGCCATGCTATGGAGGCATCCCACATAGAAGAACTAGAAGGACTTACAACTAGGATATACAACTATGTACTGGGGCTTTGGGGAGAAAAAAAAGGAAGACTGGCAACAGATGTTAGCTTGGGGCTAATCTTCCTTACCAAAAAAAAGTACACCTATAAAAAAAAAGATCCTGATTTAATTTCCTTTGGATATATACCCAATAGTGGGACTGCTGGATTGTACCATAATTCTATTTCTAGTTTTCTGAGGAACCCCCATAGTGTTTTCCATAATGGCTATACCAGCCTTACTTTTTCTGATATTGAACCACCTTCTACTGTTAGGCATAACTCTAGTTTTCATCAGTGAGTATATGTTCATTAGGGATATTTGCTTGACAAATGTATATTTTCAACTAATTTGAGGATGACTATTAAAAATGATTTGAAAATTTTATTCGGCAATGTTTTTTGAATGATATTATAATCTCTTTCCCCTTCAATTCATACAGGACTGATCTTTCTAAAATACAGTCTGATTATTTCCTTCCCTTGATGAAAATCTTTCGATTGCTCTGTATCACATAGAGCAGTGTTTCCCAAACTTCATTCATTTCCATAGCTCTTCTCAAGTGTTGCAAATGTTTCCTCTGCCTGAACTGTCTTCATCTTTCTTCCTGAAGAATTTATACTTATTCCCCATAATTTATGTTATTTTGTCTACAATAAGGATGTCACTCAATGTGAGCTGCAGATTTTATTCCAGACCCTCATTTTGTACTTTAAAACATCTTTGATTGACATATATTTACATACATGAAATGCACAGATCTCAAGAGTGTGATTTAATGAATCTCAATAAGTCTATACATCCATGTAACCACCACCCAAAACAAGATCTAGAACATTTCTAGAACTCTAGAAAGTTCCTGAATGCCCCTTTTCAGTCAATAAAATACCCTCCTCTCCATCACCCTGGCCAAAAATGTTTTGACAAAAAGATATTAAAGGTCACAGAACAATCATAATCTTTCCCATTGATCTTAAAAGTGCTTTGCATGATTTCAGCTTGCAAGATCATTTTTATGGTCCCACATTACTGCACAAAGTGAGGATTGTCTGTATTTTTTGATATTTCATTTTATTTCCATTTGGTATTTTAGCTGTATCTGTGTATGTGTATGTGTGCATGTGCCATGTCTGTATTAACGGTGGCTCTAACTCAGCAAACTACAGCACATGGGCCAACTCCAGCTGGTTGCCTGTTTTATAAATAACATTTTATTAGAAGATGGCCCCGCTGTGTTCTGTGTATTGTCTGTGGCTGCTTTCATGCTATGAAGGCAGGGTTAAGTAGACACTACAGAGACCATATGGCCCAGAAAGCCTAATATATTTATTATCTGGCCCTTTACAGAAAAAGTTTCCCAACCCTTGCTCTAAAGTGATGGTTCTTAAATTTTAGCATGCATCAGAATCACAGAAAGACTGTGCCATTCTGCCAGAGTTTTTGATTCAGTTAGGTCTGTGGTAGAGAAAGAGAATTTCATCCTTGCTGATCCCAGGTGATGCTGATGCTGCTGGTCTGCAGACCGCATTTTGAGGACCACCGTTTTCTTTTTTTTAAAGATTTTATTTTTCCTTTTTCTCCCCAAAGCCCCCCGGTACATAGTTGTGTATTATTAGTTGTGAGTCCTTCTAGTTGCGGCATGTGGGAGGCCCCTTCAGCATGGCCTGATGAGCAGTGCCATGTCCTAGCCCAGGATCCAAACCAGCAAAACCCTGGGCCGCTGAAGTGGCGCGCACGAACTTAACCCCTCGGGCACGGGGCTGGCCCCAAGGATCACCATTTTAGAGGTTATATTATATAACTTTAACTTATTACAGTCTATCTTTTTACTATTCTATTATTATTATATTATATTATACTACTTCCTTCCCACCTTTTGCATTCTTGTTGTTACATATTTTACTTCTTTGTACCCTCCTAACTCTACTGTACATTGTTACTATTTTTGCTTTAAACAAGGTCACAACTTTTTTGTGTGCAAATTAACACACAGTAAAATTGACTTTTTATGGTGTACAGTTCTATGAGTTTTAACTTATGTATGGATTATTATCACTGCCACTGCAATAACTCTCTGTGTTAAAGGATCTAGTAGAAAAGAGGAACATAAACGAATAGGGAATTTGACCACAGAGATGGAAAGTATAAAAAAAGAATCAGGGGCTGGCCCCGTGGCCGAGCGGTTAAGTCCATGCTCTCCGCTGCAGGCGGCCCAGTGCTTCGTTGGTTCGAATCCTGGGCACGGACATGGCACTGCTCATCAAACCACGCTGAGGCAGTGTCCCACATGCCACAACTAGAAGGACCCACAACAAAGAATATACAACTATGTACCGGGGGGCTTTGGGGAGAAAAAGGAAAAAAATAAAATCTTTAAAAAAAGAATCAAAAGGGAATGCTAGAAAAAATAAATATCGAAATTGAAGAATTCATTAATACATGCTATTGAGTGAAGGTAACTCCTGTACTGGGTTGTAAGGTTTTCATGTTTTTCTTTATTCAACACTATTAACATCCACCTATATATTGGTGATTTCCAATTTGCTATTGATTGCTTCTAATGTGTGTCTTGTATCATTTAAGTGTATTGTTTGAACATTTTATTCTTGAATCTTTCAATTGGAAAAAGTTCTGGCAAAATTATTTTCTCTTTCAGTTTGTCAAAGCAGTCATGTAAGCCACCTTGTTTTTCATTTCTGTTCCTATGGAAATTATCTAATCATTTTCCAGAAAATAGATTATATAAGGAGCCTTTTTCACTTTTTTAATTTGTAACTTTTTATGGTCCTTCTTTGATGAGTTTTTCTGCTAGTTTATGATCCCTTAGTTATTTTATGGAACTTCAGTGAGGAAAGCTTGTAGTTTCCTAGACACCTGGCAGCCATTGTGTTCCCCACCCCCATCATCTTTTTAAATTCTGAAAGCTGTAAGAATAGAAAGACAGCCTAGAGGTGGGGTTCGGTAGCTCTTAAACCTTCCATTCTGATTATAATAAAAGACCAGGCTGCTAGAAAAGAGATCAAGTTTCTTTTAGCTTCCACGTCCAGATTAATAAGCAGTAGAGTTATACAAGCATAATCCATTCTACCCCCTCAACTCCAGGTTCTTCTGTGGTACTTCTCATCCTTCTGTTTATCCTACCTTAATACAACCTAAAAATTGGTTTTTAATTACTAACGTAAAATTCCATTTATTGTCATCTATGTTGTTATCTTGCTTTTACTTACGTGCCTAAGTATTTCTCTTGACTGTTTTTCTTTGATGAAATGTGTCATAAAGTTCTGTGAAAGGTGTGTTTACTTTGTGCTGCATTTATTGAGAAGTAGAGAAAAGGTTGTTCTATGCTTTCCAGGTGTTCCATAATTGTCTTTGATGTCTGTGAAACATCCTGTGTAAATCGTTTCTGCTAAGTGTGTATTGCACATGTATTTTGAAATGAATTTGACCAGGATCCATCACACCATTTTGCTATGGTAACACTGGCATACATCTCACAACACGGCATTCATGATTTATTCCTTACATTCTAGAGTGATGCTCAAAGTACTATATTTTCTTACCTGGTTATCATTACGTTTGTTGTCCTGTGAAGAAGGCCAGAGTGGATATTATTATCTTATGTTCCAGATGAGGAAGCTGCGACATGGACAGAGATGATTAAATGAGACAGCACATGGGAAAGCATCTGTGACAGCGTCTAGTATGTATGTACATGTGTATGTGTACATATATACATACATAGACACACACATACATATTTATTTAGATGTATTTTTGCAATGAGGACGAGGGCAATTTTTTCTCTTTAAAGAAATATATATACTTACTATCAAAAAGCAAATTAGTGGCAGATCTAAAATTAAAGCTCCTTCTAGGCATGTACAGTCTTTCTAGCAAGCTCTATTTCGATGACACAGACGACATTTCCAAATCTGGAAATGTTATTAGCTTTGCACATTCAGGACAAACTAATATCTATTACAGTAGTTCAATGTTTTAATTACAATCCAGAGACATTATAGGGACACTTCCTTAAACTTTCTTTTCAGTATGTATTTCTGCTGGCATTACAAAGCATCCTGACTACTTCCTGAGGTCTCTTGCCCTAAACAGGGGCCTTGGGCCAAATTTTGATTTAGGTGAAGTTTGGTTTTGGATTCCTTCTACTTTCTCTTCTGGTTCTTCTCCTACTTCTTACGTGACAAACGTACTCCATGAAAATCAGTTCGTGGGCGGCAACAGCAGGTGGAGGAGTCTGGTGAACTATGAGTCAGAAAGTAGGAATGCCACAGCAAAAAGCCCTTCCAGCAATTAGGACCTGGGAGAGCTATAGGAGTTGAGCAATCTGAGAGAAGCAAAAGGTTGGCGACGTGGAGTTTGGCAGGCAGTGAGGCAGAGCAGGCCAAACAAGTATATGGAACGAGCAGCAGGGAAAATGCAAAATGCTTTGCACCTTCAATCAGTCTTTATTCCTCTTACTATGGTGAATTCCAACCTAATATGATACTTGTCTATAATCCTACTGGTAATAATAGAAACTGTAACAGTTGGTTGGCTGACCAGTCAATTTGGAGTGGGGAGTGATCACAGTTCTTTTGGCAGAAGGGTTCTCTTTATTCTGGTTGTTGAAAGGGATGCAATTACATTAATTCACACTCAAAGAGGGAGAAAATGATCATTAACTTATTACAGGTCTCAAAAATAGTATGTTTTGAGGAGAGAACCAAAGCAACACTTCTCCGTGTATGTTCTGTGGCATACTCACTCCTGCATTTTAGTTGAATGCTTCAGATGAAAAAGGATTCTGTGGCGAAACACTTTGAGAGATGCTGTATGACCCTCTTACTAGAAACATAAACATATTTAAGGTCCTGAGAAGTCTTGCAGTAAGTACACAATCTCACTTAATTTTATTTAATTCACTTTTTGGTTAGTGCTTTTAGTGTCCCACTCAAAAAATCTTTCCATACCGCAAGATTGCAAAGATATTTTGTTTTTTCTAGCTTTCTGGTTCTGATTTTTATGTTTACATCTATGATCCATATCTATTTAATTTTTGTGTAGGGAGTGAGAAAGACGTGAAGGTTCTTTTTTCCTTCCTATAAGAAAATCTATTTGATCCAGCAACATGTTTAAAAAGACTATCCATTTCCCATTGAATTGACTTGCCACCTTGATCAAAAATCAATTGACCTTATGCGTGTGGGTCTATGTCTGGATGTACGATTCTGTTCCACTGATATATTTGTCTATCCTTAGGGTAATACTTGATTATTGTAGCTTTATAGTTAAGTCTTGGAATCACATATCATAAATCCTTTTCAAGATTGTTGTTGTCCCTTTTCAAGATTGTTTTCGTTATTCTATATCCATTGCATTTCCAGATAAATTTCAGAATCAGCTTGACAATTTGTCCAAAAATTCCTCCTGGAATTTTGATAGGGATTGCACTGGATCTATACATTAATTAACGGAAAATTGGCATCTTAACAATTTTGAGTTTTATAATGCATGATCATGGTGTATATATATATATATATATATATATATACATTGAACTTTTTGTTTTGGTCTTCTTTAATTTTTCTTAGCAACATTTTATAGTTTTCAGCATAGAGGTCTTGTGTTCTTTTTAAACATTTTATTTTTCCTTTTTCTCCCCAAAGCCCTCCGGTATATAGTTATGTATTTTTAGTTGTGGGTCCTTCTAGTTGTGGCATGTGGGACACTGCCTCAGCATGGCCTGATGAGCGGTGCCATGTCCACGCCCAGGATCCGAACCGGTGAAACCCTGGGCCGCCGAAAGGAGCACGCGACTTGACCGCTCAGCCACGGGGCCCACCCCTCAAGATTTCTTCTTATATATTTGATAATTTTTAATGGTGATGCTTTCATTTATTTTCTAATTGTTTTAACTGTTCAAATTTTTTCTAATACAATCTTTTATATTGACTATAACCCGTGACCTTGCTAAATTCATTAATTAGTTCAAATAGTCTTTATATTCTACAGGGTTTTCTATGTACACAATCATGCCATGTGTGAATAATGAGTTTTACTTCCTTTCTGAACTTTGGCCTTTTATTTCTTTTTCTTGCCTTATCATACTGGCCCTATACTAAGCGCTTAACATACATCATCTCATTTAATCTTTATAACAACTCAATGTTATTCCTATTTTACAGATAAGAAAACTGAGACTCAGAAATATTCAGTATCTTGCCCAGTCAAGATTGCACATCTATTAACAGATCTAGAATTCAAACCCAGGCACTCTTACTCCAAACCTGAACCAATGACTATTAGATTATAAATTTGGAAAACTCAGAGGCAAAAAAGCAAAAGATGTTATTAAATTAATAATAGAAAAAAATCCATTAAGGACAAAGAATATAAACAGTTCACAGAAAAAAGGGCAGGTTTCTTTTAAATACAAAAAGATGCTCAACCTCACTCACAATGAGAGAAATACAAATTAAAACTATGCTAAAATGGTACAGCCAGTATGGAAAACAGTATAGCAGTTCCTCAAAAAATGAAAAATAGAAGTACGATACGATCCAGCAATCTCACTTCCGGGTATATACTCAAAAGAACTGAAAGCAGGACCTCAAAGAGTTATCTGCACACTCATGTTCACAGCAGCACTGTTCACAATAGCCAAGAGGTAGAAGCAATCCAAATGTCCATCGATGGATGAATACATAAACAAAATGTGGTATATACACACAGTGGAATATTATTCAGCCTTAAAAAGGAAGGAAATCGTATAATTTGCTACAACATGGGTGAAACTTGAGGCCTTTATGCTAAGTGAAATAAGCCTCACAAAAAGACAAAAACTGTATGATTCTACTTATATGAGGTATCTAAGATATCTAAATGAAGTATTTAAATTCATAAAAAAAGAATGGTGGTTGTCAGGGGCTGGTAGGAGGGGCAAATGGAGAGCTGTTATTTAATGGGTATAGAGTTTCAGTTTTGCAAGATGAGAAAGTTCTGGAGAACTGTTGCACAACAATGTGATTATACTTAAAAGCACTGAACTGTACACTTAAAAAAATGGTTAAGATAGGGGGCCGGCCCATGGCTGAGTGGTGAAGTTCGCACGCTCTGCTTCAGCGGCCTGGGGTTTCTCCAGTTCTGATCCTGGGTGCGGACGTGGCACTGCTTAATGTGGTGTCCCACATAGCACAACCAGAAGGACCTACAACTGGAATATCCAACTATGTACTGGGGGGCTTTGGGGAGAAGAAGGAAAAAAAAATTGGCAACAGATGTTGTTAGCTCAGGTGCCAATCTCAAAAAAAAATGGTTAAGATGATAAATTTTTATGTGTTTTTTATCACAATTTAAAATCTAAAAATTATTTTTAAAAACTTTAACACAAATTTTATTATAAATTCTAAAACAAAAAACTATGCTGAAACCTTTTTTTTTGTTTTTTTGAGGAAGATTAGCCCCGAGCTAACTGCCGCCAATCCTCCTCTTTTTGCTGAGGAAGGCTGGCCCTGAGCTAACATCCGTGCCCATCTTCCTCTTCTTTATATGTGGGACGCCTGCCACAGCATGGCTTGTCAAGTGGTGCCATGTCCGCACCCGGGATCCGAACTGGTGAACCCCAGGCCGCTGAAGCAGAACGTGTGCACTTAACTGCTGTGCCACCAGGCTGGCCCCTGAAACCATTTTTTAACCTATCAGATTGGCAACAATCCAAAAGTCTGATAACACTCTCAGTTGGCAAGGATACGGGAAATAGTACTTTTATACATTGCTGAGGGAATAATGGAACAGTCTCTATGGAAGGCAACTATGCAGTACCTATGACACCTTTTGATCTAGCAGTTCTACTCTGGTGAATTATACAGATATACTGTATGCATGAATGAAATGATATATGTACAAGGTTATGAACCTCAGCATTGTTTATAATAGGAAGATACTGGAAACAACCAAAATGCCCATCACTAGGTGACTAGTTACATTATAGTACATTCATACAGTGGAATATGCAGCTATTTAAAAATGAGGACACTCGCTATGTACTGATACGGAAAGCGATTCAACATGTAAGTGAGAAAATTAAGAAGAGTATATGTAACAGTATGTGTAAAAAGGAGGGAAGTAAGAATCTCTTCATACTTTTATATTTCCTCGCACATACTTCATGAAACTCTGGAAGGATACATGGAAAAATACTAATAGTGGTTTGGGGGCCCTGAATAGGAACTGAATGGATAGGGCACTGGTTGGGGTGGGAAAACTTTTCAATGTATATCTTTTTATATGTTTTGGTCTTAGAACCACGTGACTATATCACCTATTCAAAAAACTAAGCCCAAAATTCCTATGCCTAAAAGTAAATTTTAAAGACACCAACTGACATTAATTTATTCATAAAATGAATATTTACCAAGTGTCTACTATATGCCAAGTAGGCACTGTTTTGGACTCTGGCAATATAATACTGAACGAGATCAAGTTTTGTCCTCATAGAACTGACATTCCAGTGGGAAGGGGGAGTGCTGTTATTTTAGATAGGTGGGAAGGGTTCTCTGAGGAGGAGGCATTTGAGTAGAGATCTGAATAAAGGGAAGGAAGAAACAATGCACGGGAAGAGCTTTCCAGGCAGCAAAGGCCCTGGACAGAAACAAGCTTGATGGGCCCAGGAACAGCAAAAACACCTATGTAGCTGAACGAGGAGAACAATGTTAGGCAATGAAGTTAAACAGATTGTCAGAGAAGGCAGATCATGTGGGCTTTGTAGGACATAAGCAAGGGTTGAGATGTTATAGGCAGCTAATGGAGGTTTTTAAAAAAATCCAAAAGAGTCTTCGTTAAGATTCAGCCAGTACACACCTGTATGGCCTCCAGGTTGCTAAAAAACTGAAATATTTCAAATCTGGTTAGGAAACAGCTGCTTCCCTGGTAATAGTGTCACCTGCCATGCTGGCTTCTTTCCTAAGATCATGCCGTTGCCCACCCCCACCTCCACAATGCCCACACCCCACCTCCTGCCCCAGGAACCAACAACTAAATAAGTAACCTCGCCCAGCAGAGGCTATTGAGTTGGGAGAGTTAATCAGCTCAGGAAACTAGAATCATTGAGATTCAGCAACCTAAGGAATGAGTAAAGATTTCACTTCATTACAGTCCTAGAGCCTGCTTAGGACAGTGTGTCTTGGGCTTCCATTCCACTAAGGGTCAGGTAGGGCCCACTACCGTCATCTGGGCTCCCGCTCAGTCCAGCAAGAAGCAGCAGCAGGCTGGAGACATAGACCGAACATCCCTGAGGTCTGAGACGAAGACAGAGGGAAGGGGAAGCCCAGTGTACTTCTACACAAACAATCTGCCTCCTCAGTCCTCCTTGAGTGATTTCAAAGGCTACTGGCCAACAGTCAGCCCTTACAACTTTTATATAATATATTAACCACATCAAACTTGGTTTCTATATTCAAAGTCATAAAATTGTCCTGTGCCAGGAGGATTTTTAAAAATACATCATGGCAAAGGGAAATAGAAAATATCAACCTCTCCAACACCAAATGCGACCATAACATTCTCATAGCTACACTCAAGAAAGTCAATGTTTGTGTAACAATGTGTAGTTCCTGGAATCCTAATCTCAACAGAGAATTACAACAGCTGAAACACAGCAATTCTAATTTCACAAATGAAACTTATTTTACACACTATAGTACCGGGAATTTAGTCTGGAAAATTAGTACACACGTCAAAATCTTAAAAACAGATTTCTCCAAAGTTGCGTGAAATTTCTAAGCCGCTTGCCATTTCATCCATTTCACAAAGTTCCTCCTCTTTGAAAATACATTCTGCCGCTCTTAAATCTAGGATCCCAATATCTTATTACATCATATTAAGTTCTACTTTATTCTCATTCATTTAATTTCTTTGAACATCAAAACCTCCAGTTTAATTACCTGAGAGACTACTAAATATTTGCTAACATAAACTTCTAACATGAGCCTAAACTAAAGGAAAAGCAACTGGAAAGAACATCAAGGAGAAATCTAAGCACCGCGTAGAAATAATCAACCTCTAGGTACCAGACATTTATTCACTCACTTTTATTTTCTGACTGTCAACATCTTCATTCAATCAGAGACAAGACATTAAAAATCATCTTATGCAAGCAGGACCTGTTTTAGCAGAACACTTGCTCGAAAACTTCACGGCTTTCATTTTTAAAAATAAAACTATTTGTGAAATGCTGAAACTTTCTTTTAAATAGATCTAGTACACGAGATTTAGGACCAGGCAGGACGTAAATTTAATCTTAGATGGAAACTATTCCTGTGATCCTTTTTATATTCAAATGTAATAAGATTTTTTTACAAAAACTACTTACACCACAGCAAGCTGAAGTCTAGACAGCCAGCATGAAACGATCAGCAGCCGCCTGTTTCCTCACAGACTAAACTTTGTTCCCTTCCTGGCTGTTCCTGCTTAGGTTCACACTGATACACATTTACTGTGGCCTTGGAAGCTACCACTCAACCGAGCGAGGTGGGAGGGTTTGTTAATCTAACTCTTGCTTGATAACCGCTTATCAGCAACTCCTCAAAGGCAGAGTTCAACGTGGTTAAAGAGACAAATGTAACGAAGATTATAGGGAAAGACTGAAAAATCTCATAATCTCTGATGGCCGGGCTTTGGTTTCAGAGGGATTTCTTTCCCATATGTTCCCAGAAAAAAAAACAAAAAACAAAAAATGATAGCCTTCTGAGCTTCAAAAATCTTGCTTTCTTCCTTTCATAAAAGTTTTCCCACCTGCTCAGAATCTATATTTTGTGCAATCATGGCAAAAAGAGGCCAGAAAGTTGCTTCTCTTCCTCCATCACCTCCATTTTTCCCGACTCTTTCACTAGTTAGGGAAATAATGCAGAGTTCTTGTTAAACTTAGTACTTTCTGGCATTGAAACCACCTGCTGATCTAAGGTAAAATAAGAACTTGGATCACAAATTCTATTCTTTGCAAGATAAAATATTATGCTGCTTCATCCCCTTCCACATCCCTAAGCTTCTTTCCTCTGAACTACTATACTTCTGTAATTTGTGACATTAGCCTTTGAAGCAAAAACCACTTATTACGTACTTACTGCACTAATCACTTTATAAACATGATCTCATTCTCTCCTAGGCAATAAACTTGGGGATCATCTTCAATTCTTCTTAGTCTGATTCTCTGTACCTAATTATCCCCTTCACTATCCTGGTGATCCTCTGCCATAAGCACTGTGGCAGGCAGATAATGCCCTCCACCCCCCCAAAGATGTCCAGAGCCTAATCACCAGAATCTGTGAATATGTTACCTTACATGGCAGAAGGGACTTTGTAGATGGATTACAGTGAAGGACTTTGAGATGAGGAGATTATTCAGACGTGTCCAATCTAAGCACATGAATCCGTTGAAAGCAGTGAACCTTTCCCAGCTGTGGCCAGAGAGAGGCAATGTGAGGACTTGATTTGCTCTCGCTGGCTCTGAAGATGGGGGAAGGGGGCTGCTAGAAGCTGGAAAAGGTGAGGAGACACATTCTCCTCTAGAGCCCCCAGAAAGGGACGTGGACCTGATGACACCTATGTTTTAGTCTAGTGAGACCCATGTTGGATTTTTGACCTACAGAGCTGTAAGATAATAAATTGTGTTGTTTTAAGAAACTAGGTTTGTGATAATTTGTTATGGTAGCAACAGAAAAGTAATACATTTTAATTTATTTTAATTTCAAAATGTCCCTTTGAAAATATAATACCCAGAACTGAATAGAATATGCCAAATGAGGTCTGATGAAGAAAAAAAAATTGTGGAATTATCAAATTCCTTAATCTGGATGCTATACTTTTACGAATGCAACTCAAGATTGTTTTAGATTTTTAACGCATTATACTTGTAAGTTAGTGGATTCCTAAGTTTTTGTCACATGAATTACATCAAACCAGGTGTCTACCTTCAGTCCTGTTTTCAACTACTTTTGGAGAAGAAATGCAGAGCTTTACATTCAATCCTTTAAAATTTCACCTTACTGGTTTTAGCTCATCCTTCCAAACTATTAAGATAATTTTGAATCCTGCCTCTGTACTCTGTCATAGGGAGTATTCTTTTTAAGGCGAACTGCATCTACGTATTCCCATGTATTCACCAGGCTATTCATAAACAAACATTGAGCAGTCAAGATCAAGAACTGAGTTCTGTTATTAGAGATCTTCAATTTGACACTGATCCATGAATCAATACTCTTTGGGTACACAAATTTGGTCAGTTACAAAACCACCTACTCTGAAATAGCTTACTTTTTTTTAACTTCTCAAACGTATCAGGAGAATAAAATGCCTTAATAAATAAAAATATGTCTAGAGCGGGGGCTGGCCCCGTGGCCGAGCGGTTAAGTTCGCGCACTCTGCTGCAGGCGGCCCAGTGTTTCGTCGGTTCGAATCCTGGGCGCGGACATGGCACTGCTCATCAGACCACGCTGAGGCAGCGTCCCACATGCCACAACTAGAGGAACCCACAACGAAGAATGCACAACTATGCACCGGGGGGGCTTTGGGGAGAAAAAGGAAAAAATAAAATCTTTAAAAAAAAAAAAAAAAAAAAAAATGTCTAGAGCGTACCAATCCACTAGAACTCTGCTGGGAACAGAGATGTGGTTAGTTTCATAGGAGCAGTTTTTTTGTAATTCGGTGCTGTTTCAGTGATTATCATTTTCTTTTTTAAGAGTTTACAAACTATCAGTTAATTATCCTTTGTAGAAGTCTACTTGAAATTAAAAGGCAGTTTTCCCAATTGTAGAAGTGACAATGATCTCTGTCTCAAAAGACGAGATATAAGTAGAGGGGGAAGGGGGGAACACTACAAAAGATGACCTGGTGGAAGGAATGAGCACTGCGTGCCCTTGGGAGAGGATAAAAACCACACTGATCAGAGCACTGTGGTTGTCAGAAGTAGCATGAAACCAGGGTTGAAACATATGATGTAAAGTCTTGAAAAGGGAACTAGGATTTTAACTTAATATATTAGAACACAGGAAAAACTGAAAGCCTGTGAATAAAGAAAATAAAATACTAAGAGGGGTAATTCAATAACCTAATTGAAAAACGGGCAAAATATATGAACAGGTCACAGAAGAAGAATTATTAATGGCTCTCAACTATATGAAAACATACTCCACCTCACTCATTATAAGAGAAATGTAATTTAAAAGTACAATGACATTATTTTAACCTATCAAATTGGCAAAGTTACAAAAATCTCAATACACAATGTTGATGAGGTTATGGGAGAAATAATGGAGGATAAATTGGTAGAACCTCTCTGAACTGCAAATTGGCAATCAAATCATGAACACATAGACCCTTTCACCCAGCAATAACTAAAAACATACACATGTAAAATGACTTATGTCCACGGATAGTCATTACAGCATCATATGCAAAAGTAAAAGATGTCAATCAGTAGGGAACTGGTAAGTTCAATTACAGTACAGCTATTCAACGGGATACTGGAAAAAATAATAAGGCAACTTTGTATTACTGATATAAGAATGATCAAGCTGTATTAAGTTTTACAAAAGTAAGGTATAGAGCAGTATATTTAGAATGCAACTATTTACGTATGTATGTTTGAGAGAATGTGGCATGTGTGTGTGTATGTGTGTGTATGTGCAGAATCTCTCTGGAAGAATACCTAAGAAACCAGAAAAGTGAGTTGTCTTTATGGAAGGGACCGGATGTCTGTGGTTCAGAGGTGAGAAGCAGACTTATCCATACTTTTGTCCTTCTTGAATTTTTACCAAAGCTGGTATTACTTATTTAAAAATAAATAGATATGCTAAATGGCAATGCGGCATCCTGGAATAGAAAAAGTACAGAAGTGGAAAATCTGGTGAAAACCAAATAAAATCTGGACTTTAGTTAATAGTCAAGTACCAACGGTAATTTCTTAATTTTGACAAATGAGCCATGGTTATGTAAGATGTTAACATCAAGAGAAATTAGGTGAAAGAACTATTTTTGCAACTTTTCTGTAAACCTAAAATTATTCGAAAAATAAAAAGTTTATTAAAACAAAAATAAATAAACATTTAAAGAATTATTAGGACAGCTATGGTGGAAATGACTTGGAGATTAGAACCAAAGATGCCAGATGAGAAACTGGGAGGATCTTGGCATGAGGTAATGAGGGCCTGAACTAGGGTAAAAGTCATGAAAATACAATGAAAAGAACTAATATAGATATAAGATACATTTCAAAAGAAAAAAGTCAACAAAATAATTGCAAAGCAGAGAGCAAAGAACACTGATACTAGAAGATGAAAATTAGAGGAGGAAGCTGGTTTGAAGGGGAGTGAGATTCATTTAATTCATTCATTCAATAAATATTTGTTGGTACCTACCATGCCAGGCACTGTGCAAGGCACTGGGGATGTGAGAGGGAGTTTATAAATGTTGAGTATGAAGTGACCCTAAAACCTCCTAGTTGAATTGTCTAAGAAGCATCTGGACATACAGGATGAGAGTGCAGGTGAGAGACAGAACTGCAACAGCTGAGAAAGGTGATACAGAGTGAGGAAGGAGAGGCAAAAACTGAGCCGTGGGACAGAAATACAACTAGGGGAAGAGAGTAGCAGCAAAGAAGAGAGGGAAGGAATGGCCAAAGGGTTTTGAAAAGAAGCAGGATAGGGTAATTTCCTGGAAACCGAGATAAAAGAATGGTCAAAGAAGAAGCCTTCCATCAAATGCACTGTCCAAGAAATGAGGATATACAATACACCACAAGACAGCAGACTTAAAAGAGAAAGAGAGATTATTTATCCTTTAGGTCTATAGCTAGAACTTAGCTACATACTTAGAGGGAAATCACAGTGTCAACCATACTTCAGATGCTTAATCAATGCTATCTGAGAATGATGAATACATACTAAGTACTAACCAATACTATATACATATATGCCTATGTGTATATGAGTATATACATATGTGTAAAAACATATATATATGTGTGGTGTGTGTGCATACATACACACCACACATACTATAAATATAGGTGTTATTAAAAGAATTGGTGACTATGCTTCAAATTCTAATTTATGTAAAAAACCCTGAAACCCTGACTTATGTGTAGTGTACAGAATACCAGTAAAATGGAAGTGCAGTTTTCAGATGTAATTCTCTGCCAAGTAAATTAAAATACTACTTTGGCATTTCATCTTCATAAAGCAGGCTAAGCACAAATTTGAAAGCTTTGCTCTGATATTTTCCATCTAATTTTAAACAGCCTCAGCCTACAAGCCAGAAGGCAATACTCCCACCAAGTAAAGATTTCTTTTAAATCTTTTGTGTGAAAAGCCATTAGAGCAGTAACAGTGTAATACACAGGAGCTTCTTGAAAATGTAATTGAAAAACTATGTAGCATTAGCGATTTTTCTAAAATAAACTGTCTAGTCTGATGTCATCTGAATGGAGAAATTAATATCATCATTTATTATCCTAATGTAATTCTGATATATAAAGATTTTTACTATTTAAAAGAAAATCAATTTTAAGAATACATAGGCAAAGCAAACCAGCTTCTTTTCTAAACGTTTGGGTTTCTAAACTAAAGTTACATAGTAAACAGCTTTCATGACCCCATCTTGTATACAGGGTCTGAAAGTACCTCTCCAGGCTGAGAAACACAAAGCTAATGCAACACTAACCCTGGAAGACAGGCTTAAAGCTCTCACAAGGACCTCATTCAGCCCAGGCTGTTGGCTTTCAGAATTAATAACAGCTATGGAGCAGCTGTCACTTCTTAACATTGTCTATTGCCTATAACTCTCTTGCTACCACATTTTAAAGGAATTTTAACATTATCATGTTTTGAGAAAGCAAACCTGAATTGGCATTTTAGGAAATAATAAATTATTTTTTTTTCCTTCTTGACCTTCATAATCAGGAGATTGGTAGACTTCTCAATGATTCCAATTTTGTTGTAAATGTATATTCAGAGAATGCGAATTGATACAAGCACTTTGGATGTCAGCTAAATGGAATTATTAATACCACCGTGTAATTTGATATTACCTAGAAAAGTTGAAGAAGCATGTGCGTACAACCAGCACTACAACTCCCAGGCACACGCTCCAGCAGAGCTTCGCAACTGCTGTGTCATGGTAACCTAGTGTGCAATGAATGGGTTACAGGTGCGCCCAGATATGGATCTCATCAGCCCTCCAGCAAAGCACAAGCCCCAGGCCAGAGACACAGCTTCATTCCTTTAATGCAGTGTGTTGTACAAATATTATCTATCATTTTCTATGTGTGCTATGACATGAAAAAGCTTGGGAAACGTTGACAGAGAAGTTCTTGCATATGTACGGCAGATACATATACAGGAATATATGTACATATAGGAGCAGTGTTTGTAATAACTAAAAACTGAAACATCACAAATGTCCATCAATCAATTCATCTGCTAATAAATTATGGAATACTCACACAACACAATATTATACAGCAGCAAAAACTAATGAGTAAAAGCTATATGTACTGACATGGATAAATCTAAGACTATAATATTGAATTAAAAAAAGTAAGTTCCAGAGCCAGCCCTCATGGCCTAGTGGCTAAAGTTCAGTGCTCTCACCGCTTTGGTGGCCTGGGTTTGGTTCCCAGTGCAAACACCACACCACTCGTCTGTCAGTAGCCATGCTGTGGCAGTGGCTCACGTAGAAGAACTAGAAGGACTTACAACTAGAATATACGATTATGTACTGGGGCTTTGGGGAGGAAGAAAAAAGAGAGGAAGATTGGCAACAGATGTTAGCTCAGGGCGAATCTTTCCTAGAAAAAGAAAAAGATCAAAGTAGAATTAGCTATACTTAAAAAAAAAAAAGTCCCAGAAAAATACATACTATGTAATTGCATCTTTATAAAGTTCAAAAACATGTAAAACTAATCAATATGCTGTTTAGGGATACAGATATGTGACAAAACCATTGAAAAAAGCAAGAAAATTATTAACACAAAATTCAGAACTTTGGTTACCTCTGAGAGAACAGGAAAAGTTTGGGATCAGAGAGGAGTACACAGGAGATATTGGAAGTAGTGGTAATATTGCTAAAACTAGGCTGTAGGTAACATATGTTCTCCATGTAGTTATTCCATAAGCCTTACCTACTCAATATTGAATAAACATCTTTTATAAAAGCCCTATTCTGTCCAAAGGTAGATAGTGAACACATCTGCCATCTCTGCAATAGCGTGAGGTACATGCAATAGGAGGGACAGAAAGTATCAAATTAGAGAGACACTGAACCTTCACAAAGGCCCTACAGACATACACAACTGCGACAATAAAGGATGTGAAAGCTATACAA